TTTTTTCCTTTCAACATTTAGAATGTATCACGCCACTCCCTTCTGGCCTTTTAAAGCTACCGCTGAAAAATCAGCTGTTTGCCTTATGGGTTCTTCTTTGTATGTAGCTGTTTTTCCCTGTTGCTTTTAAATCTTTTTGTCATTTTACTTATTATGTATCTTGCTGTGGACCTCCTTGGGTTAATTTTGGTGGTGGGGAAGTAACAATATTTATATTGAACAAAATAGACTTTAAAACAAAGACTCTAACAAGAGACAAAGAGGGACACTACACAATCATAAAGAAAATCCAAAAAGAGTATATATCAATTGTAAATATCTATGCACCCAAAATGGGAGGATTTAAATACATAAAACAACTATTAACATATATAAAGGAATAAATTAATAGTAATACCATAGTAGTAGAGGACATCAATGGATGGAACATCCAGACAAAAAATAAGAAAACAGTGGCTTTGAATGATTTGTTAGACCAGATCAACCTAACAGATACATTCAGAACATTCCATCTAACAACAGTAGACTACACATTATTTTCACGTGTACATGGAATATTATCCAGAATAGATCACATTAGACCACAAAACAAGTCTCAATAAATTCAAAAAGACTGAAATAATATCATACATCTTTCCAAACACAAGGGTATGAAACTCACAATTAATTACAAGAAAAATTCTGGAAAGAACAGAAATACATGGAGACCAAACAAACATGCTACTAAACAATGAAGGGATCAACCAAGAAATCAACGAGTAAATAAAAAAATACATGGAGACAAATGAAAATGAAAACACAATGGTCCAAAACCTTGGGATGCAACAAAAGCAGTTCTAAGAGGGAAGTTTATAGCAATACAAGCCTACCTCAAGAAGCAAGAAAAATCTCAGATAAGCAATGTAACCTTACACCAAAGGAGCTAGAAAAAGAACAAACAAAGCTAAAGCCAGAAGGAAGGAAATAAAAAGATTAGAGCAGAAACAAATGAAATAAAGACTAAAAGAACAACAGAAAAGATGAGTGAAATCATGAGATAGTTCTTTGAATGGATAAACAAAATGAATAAACCTTTAGCAAGATTCATCAAGAAAAAGAGGGCTCATAAATAAAATCAGAAATGAAAGAGGAGAAATAATAACCAATGCTACAGAAATACAAAAAATTATGAATATTATGAAAAATTATATACCAACAAATTGGACAACCTAGAAGACATAAATTACTAACCTTCCAAAACTGAATCAGGGAGAAATAAGAAATTTGAGCAGAGTGATTACTAGAAAAAAAAATTGAATCTGTAATCAAAAAACTACCAACAAAAGAACTGGATAGAAGAGAATAAAACTGTTTTTATTTATATGTAATATAATTAATTTTATTTAAAAACCAAATATATAAATAAATAATTAGAACTAAAAAGGGAATCCATTAAGGCTTATGAATATCAGATTAATGTACTAAAATGAATTTAATTTTTACATATGAAATGTAAGTAGAAAATGTAATTTTAAAAGACATTATTTTTTTTCTTTTTTTAAAGATTTTATTTATTTATTTGAGAGAGAGACAGTGAGAGAGAGCATGAGAGAGGAGAAGGTCAGAGGGAGAAGCAGACTCCCCATGGAGCAGGGAGCCTGATGTGGGACTTGATCCCAGGACTCTGGGATCATGACCTGAGCTGAAGGCAGTCACCTAACCAACTGAGCCACCCAGGCGCCCCTTAAAAGACATTTAAATAGCAACAAAGGTATCCAGAAATTTAGTATTTTACATATCTAACAAAACATATGCAGGACATGGACACATGAAATCGAGCTCAACATTATCAGTCATAAGAAAAACATAAATTAAAACCACAAGCTACTACTACAAATACTCTAGAATAGCTATAATCAAAAAGACAGACAATATTAAGTTTTGGTGAGGATGTAGAATTACTGAAGCATCTATAAATTTCTAGCAGGAATGTAAAATGGTGCAAACATATTGTAAAATCTTTTGGCAGCTACTTAAAAAGTTAAAAATAAGTTTATCGGGGTTCCTGGGTGGCTCAGTGGGTTAAAGCCTCTGCCTTTGGCTCAGGTCATGATCTCAGGGTCCTGGGATCAAGCCCCGCATCGGGCTCTCTGCTCAGCAGGGAGCCTGCTTCTCTCTCTCTCTCTCTCTCTGCCCGCCTCTCTGCCTACTTATGATCTCTGTCTGTCAAATAAATAAATAAAAATCTTAAAAATAAGTTTATCATATGACCCAGTAATTCCACTTCTAGGAATCTACCCAAGAGAAATGGAATTATATGTCTATACAAAGTCCATATGAATGTTCATATCAGCATTTTTTCATAACAGCCAAAGGCTAGAAATAATCCCAATGTTCATCTACTGATAAACAACAAAAAAGTGGTATATCCATATGTTGTAGCATTCATTACTTTTAAAATCTAAAATTGCTATACTAGCAAAGTAAAATAGAAACAACTTGTGATCATCACAATTGATCCAGAAAAACTATATGACATATGCAAACATCCATTCTAGAAGGACTAGAAGAGAATTTCTTCAACCTGATAAAGGCATCTAGGAAAAACCTACATCATACTTAATAATGAAAGACTGAATGTTTTCCATCCAAAATCAACAACACTAGAATGTTGCCATGCTCATCACAACTTTTCACATGGTACCAGAGGTAGTAGCCAATGCAATAAGGCAAGAAAAAGAAATAAAAGGCGTCCTTAGAGGAAAGAAAAAAACACAATTCCATTAATTGCAAAACACATTATTGTCCACATCAAAAATATAATGGAAGCTACAAAAAAAAATGTGCTACAACTAATAACTAAGCTCAACAAGGCTTAAGGATTAAAAAAATCAACATAAAAATCAATTGTATTTTTACTATCCAGACACAATTAAAAATTAAATATTAAAAAATACTCTTTACAACACCATCAGAAATATAAAATACCTAGTGATAAAGCTGAAAAAAAACTGTGAAAGACCCGCATAGTGAAAAATACCAAATATTGTTGATAATAAATTTTAAAATAATTAAGATTAAAAAAGAGATATATGTTCATGGGTCAGAAGACTCACTATGGTTAAACTATCAATTCCCCCCAAACTGGTCTGTAAATTAAACACAATCTCAATCCAAATCCAAGTATGTGTTTTGGTAAAAACTGACATGTGTATTCTAAAATTCATATGCAAACATAAAAGAAATGGAACTCAAAGCCAAAAGATTGAAAAAGAATGAAATTGGAGAATAAATGCTACATGATTTCAAGATTTATTATGAAACTACAGTAGCTGTAACAGTGCTATTTTGGTATAAAAGTAGGCAAATTAATTAATAAAACACAATAGGGATTCCAGAAATAGCCTTTACACTTTTTTTTTTTTTAAGATTTTGTTTATTTATTTGAGAGAGAAAGAAACAGGTAGAGGATGGTGGGGGAGGAACAAGCAGACTCCACACTGAGCATGGAGCTTGTTACAGGCTCATGACCATGAGATCATGACCTAAGCTTAAACCAAGAATTAGGCACTTAGCTGACTGAGCCACCCAGGTGCCCCCAGCCTTTACACCCTTACTCATACACAGGCACACTCATACACAGGCAACAGACTTTCCACATAGGTCCAAAAGCATTTCATTGTTTAAAAGAAAGTCTTTGGGTGCCTGTTGGCTCAGTTGGTTAAGCAACTGCTTTTGGCTCATGTCATGATCCTGGAGTCCTGGGATAGAGTCCTGCATCAGGCTCCCAGCTCCATGGAAACTTTGCTTCTTCCTCTAACCCCATCTCTCCTCTCAAGCTCTCTCTCACTCTCTCTCTCTCTCTCTCAAATAAATAAATAAAATTTTTAAAAAAATAATAATAAAAGAAAGTCTTTGACCAAACTGTACTAGAACATTTGGATATCCATATGGAGAAAAAGATTGATCCATCTCTTGAAATATAAACAAATATTAACTCAAAATGTACAGTATTCTTAAACAGAAAACATAAAAATAGAAAACTTCTAAAAGAAAATGGGAATCTTTGTGATCTTAGGTTAGGATAAGATTTCTCAGAAGAACAAATTGTTAAGTTGAACTTCATTTTAATTAAAACTCCTCTTCCAAAAAAAAAAAAAATACTCCTACTAGAGTGAAAAGACAAGCCACAAAAAAAAAAAAAAAAAAAAAAATTGCAAATTATATGTCACATAAAATATTCATATCTGGAATACATAAAGTACTCTAAAATTCCAATAATGAAAACAATTCAATTTTTAAAAGTGAAAAATAGATTTAAACACACTTAATTAAATAAAATATATATATATCAAATAATCACAATTATCACAAATAATCACAACAAATGTTTAACATCATTACTCTTTAGAAAAATGTAAATGAGAATTAGATACCATTACACACCTACTAGAACAGCTAAAATTAAAAAGACTAACCATATGAAATATTTAGAGACTTGAGGAAATGAAACTCATATACTCCTGATGGGAATGTAAAATGGTATAACCATTTGAAAAATTCTTTCTTAAAAGGTTTATCATACATCTCACATATGATCACTACCCAGTGAAAGTATCTTATAGTAAAAATTCAACACTGCTTTTTAGTGATGACCAAAACTGCCCCTGCAAAAATCTATCACAAAATTCTATTTGTTCAAAATTTAATCAAAATGAAAAGACCACATTAAATTCAGTTGAGATTACTCAAATCCCATTTTTGTTTCCATGTCCAGAATAAGATCTACTGCTATGTCACTCTTCAAGAGTAGAAAAAAATGCACCAAATATAATTTTTAAAATATAGCAAAAAGTCTGCCTTTCTTAGCAACATATATGGAATTGTATTATAAGATTTAAGAAATAGAAATGGTAACATACTAATGACAAGATCAGCATGCAAGATGAATTTTATAATCTGCAAAATCACCTAAAACTAAAAATACTAATTATTTAAAATGAAAAGGTAAAAGTACTTACAATAACATGTTCCTCTAAGTGGATTACCTACATAGCGATTTTCAGAGTCACATCTGTAGAAATAAAAACACAAACAATGAATCATGGAACACTACATCAAAAACTAATGATGTACTGTATGGTGGCTAACATAATACAATAAAAAATTGAAAATAAATTAAAATGACAGAATTAAAGGGAAAAATAAACCTATAACTAGGGAAAAAACCTCATTTACTACTGAGCAACAAAATTCAAAACTCCATATTTTTCTTCAAGAAAAACAGTAAACTCTACTTTAAAACATCTTAAAAACTATATCATTAATCAAAGTTTTAAAAGCAAAACTTTAAAATAATTAAAGTAGAAAGCCAATATTTGAGCATGAGTAGAGAAAAGAAACAGTGAAAACAAATAGTCACACACACACAAGATGATAAAAGGGAATGTCACAAGGCAGATGGGATAAGACTAGGAGTCTGGGGATACATATTCTTGATAAAGATATTGAGACACTTTAAGGGGAAGTAAGAAAGTATGTGGAATTTATAAATCTACATCATTTTCTTACTTCTGATATTCTTTGAAATCAATATAGTTTTCCCAGTTTCTACACATGAATCTATATTTTCAAAAAGATCTCCCCAATTATGTAATAAAGAAAAGTTTTTTTCTGAATTGTCCAACTCTAAATTCAGTAGCTCAAACTCTGAATTTATGTAAGATTATAAAAAAACAGAAGAACATAAGAGCATTCCAAATCGTGAATTCTAAATTAAATTAAATTCTTCAAAATTATGCTTAATTATAGCAGTGGGAGAAGATCATAAATGTTCTAAAAATTTCTAAGGTTCACATTTTTATATCTGCTTCCAGAAGTCAATTAAAATGAGAGTTAGCACCTAACACTGATACAGCTTGATTTCACATAATGTTTTTTCACTGGAACACCCTCCAAAATAAATTATTATACAATAAAACACACCAGGCTAACTGAATAAAGTGACTTAATATTTAAAGTGTATTTAAAAGTTTAAAAGATGAGTAAGACCTTTCAAAATGTCTTTAGTTTTAATAGAGTTAACCAGAACACAGGAATAATTTTAATATATATTTTTTAACTAATAAAAGGTCAAAAAGTCGAGACTACTAGGCTAAATAATCAGGTTACATTCTGAATGCATTTATCAGCCATGAGTTGCTAGTTTTTTAATTCATGAGTGGAAGAGTAAATCTTTTTCTACACTAACTGCAAAATTAATGTAGAAATATAATAGTCCTTTGTACAACTAACTTTATTCTCTGGGAAACAATGAAACTTTGGGAGTTAGGTTTCCTGTGACTTCCCCAAATGCAACTTTCAAAATGTGTGACATACAGTTTACTGGCTGTAGAAAATGATCATACTCATCATTTCTAGGTTAAGCACTTAAGGTTCTCTACTATTTCCATATTTTGTTCCTTCCTTTAGGCTCACCACCATAAATCCCATGACTTAGTACCAAATATATACATACACTGAAGGTCTGATTTACAATATTATTATAATTCCTTTTTCTGTCACAAAATATAAATATGACTTGTTACAAATGGATATCTCAATACTACTTTTGTTTTATTTTTTATTTATTTATTTGAGAGAGAAAGAGCACAACCAGAGGGAGCAGCAGACGAAGAGGAAGAAGCAGGCTCCCCACTGAGCAGAGAACCCTCAATTCCAGGACCGCAGGATCGTGACCTGAGTCAAAGGCAGGTACTTAAACATCTGAGCCATGCAGGTGACCCACAACACTACTTTTAGAATAGGGAAATATTCAAAATAATAGTGCCTGCATTGTTCCACATGATATTCCCTGCATGTCTTATTTGTCTAAATAGATGTCTTTCAAAGTAGCAGAGAAATTGAAAATGAGTAACTTTGACAAATGTTAAGGATTTCAAGTACTTTTTAATTGATCTATATGTTGACATTAAGAGCTCTGGATACAAACCTATATTCCCATATGGAAGTTACACAATATTTATTTTCGTTGATAATATTAAGTTTATTCAAATTATTTAATATCATATTGGAATAGAAGTTATTGTAATATGTTACCTTCAACATAATATAATTTTTATAAAGGCACGGTTAAAATTTTATTTTCTCCAAACTACAAATTATCTCAGGAGGATGAAATTATATATTCTTGTTTAGGAAGTAATTATTCCTGCCTTTCATTACTTACGGAAATAAGGAATTAATATCACCTTGTTAAGAACTAAGCTGAGGGGTGCCTGGGTGGGTAAGCGTCTGACTCTTGGTTTCAGCTCAGGTCATGATCTTGGAGTAGTGAGACAGAGCTCCATGATGGGCTCCGTGCTCAGCTCGGAGTCTTCTTCAGATTCTCTCTCCCTCCCTATCTCTCCTCCTCTGCCCCTCCCCCTGCTTGCACACACTCTCACACTCTCTCTAAAATAAATAAATAAAACCTTTAAACAAAAGAATTAAGCGGAGAGGCTTTATAGAGTTCTTGAAGGTGTCCAATACAGAATTATATTCTCTTTTAAATTTTAAACTCTTTAGACAATCACATATTATCTAAAGATCTTTATATTAATAAGCATTGAGACAATTTTGAATGTATTAAAAGTATTTTCAAAGTGTATAATTATGAGTAGAACTTAAACATCAATTTTTAGTAATTTAACTTTAGCTGTCATCTAAAAAATCACTAATGCCTATAAATAACTAAGGAAATAAGTAGTTCCAAAGGAAATATAATGAAACTTTAGGCATAAAACTCAGCCTGCAAAACACAAAAGTATGCATAAATATATGCAAACACATTCCTTATTTCTCATTGGTACATTGCAATGTCATAAGATGGCAGTTAATTTGAAAGGTAATTTTTAATTTTACCAAATAAAAATTCCAGTAAGTTTTAAAGGAGTTAGAAACATTGAGGTATGTATACACAATAGAATATTATTTAGCCATAAAGAATGATATCTTACCATTTTTAACAACATCTATGGACCTAGAGAGTATAATGCTAAGTGAAATAACTCAGAAGAAAAAAAAATACTATATGATATGGAATTTAAGAAACAAAACAAACAAGAAAAGGAAAAAGAGAGAGAGAAAGCAAAAAAATAAACAAACTGATGGTTACCAGACAAGGAATGCAGGGGGATGGGTGAAATAGGTGATGAGGATTAAAAAGTGAACTTAGCATGATAAGCACTAAGTAATGTACAGAACTGTTGAATCACTATATTGTATACCTGCAAGTAATATAACACTGTATGTTAACTATACTGGAATTAAAATTTAAAATTTAATTTTAAAAAGGGGGAAAAAACAGTGAAAAGGAAGAGCTTTGAGGGCAACTAGACTTAAAAGATATTAAAATATATTCAAAGTCTATAAAATAAAATAGTGTAGTATCAGTGCATTGATAGAAAAACCAAAGGTACAGAATAGAAATTCTACAAACAAGCTCAACTATCATATACTAAAAATCTAGCATATCATATGATAAAAGTGTATTTTAAATGATCAAAGTAAAGTTTTTTTCATAAATGATATTTATGGTAAAATACCATAATGGCAAAATATGGTAAACTGGATAGCCATTTGGAAAAATATAAAGTCAAATCCAGTCCTTGTTGGAGGCTACGGCATGGTTGGAGTCATGGATCAAACCAGGCCCTGACTTGTGTCTCCTTTAAAGTCCAGACGCCTTGACAAGGGGTTAAGGACAGGAAAGTTGAGTAACACTGAGAAAAGGGTCTGTGCTATGTGTCGTGCACTCCCCTACATGACTTCCCACACGCTCTCCCTACAGAAGAACAATGTGGTCAGGGTCATGAATTCTTAGTTGGTCCTTGTTGTTCCTGTACTTCCCATAACCCACTCCCTGGTTGATTGTCTTGCTAATGGCATTAGCGGTGACTACCTGGCATCATGAGATTTGCTTGTAGTTAATGTAAACTTGTTATAGGAACTTGCGGTCATCTGACTAGATACTGATGTATTACTCCTTCTATTTTGGTCTGCCTTATAAATGCTTGTAAGATGTGGAATAAAATCGGCACTGTTGGACATCCTCCTCAGTGCTCCTCCTGCCCCCATTTCTTTGTCTCTTAATTTCTTTTCACCATCCTCTTACCCTCACGTTTCCTGGTCTATTTGTCACGCCAACCGCGACAAGTCCTCATATCAAACACATATAAAAACCTCTAAATGGACTCTGAAAAACAATCTGAAGGGTTTGAAGAGGTGGGGGGGTGGGAGGCTGGGGGAACCAGGTGGTGGGTATTAGAGAGGGCACGGATTGCATGGAGCACTGGGTGTGGTACAAAAACAATGAATACTGTTATGCTGAAAATAAATTTTAAAAAATGATTAAAAAAAAAGAAAAAAACCTCTAAATGGATCAGACATCCTAGCATACAAAATAAAACTTTAAACATATTAGAAGAAAAAAATTGCAAGATAGCATGGGTATACTGAAAGGCATGGTAAAAGGAATGCCATTAGTAAAGTAAAAAAATATGACAAATTGTGAGAAAACTGACAATGTATGTGACATAAAAGTGCTAAAATCCTTAATTTACAAAGAGCTCTCTAATAATAAGGGAAGGACTGACGATTCCATAGAAAAACTGGCAAAAGACATAGACAATTCACACACACAAAAAAAACAATGGTTCTTAACTATGTGAAAAAATGTTCAACTTTACTTACAAATAGGGAAATATGAACTAAAACTATACTAAGATGCCATTTCTCCCTCATCAGATTGTCAAAATTTTAAAAGTATAGCAATATGCTCTGCTTACGAATGAGACTGTGGGCAAACAGCCCTCCTATAAAATTATGAGCTGGTGAGAATGCAAAATGAGAAAATCCCTATGGAGGAGAATTTAGCAATATCTAACAAATATATGGGAGCACTTATTCCTCAACCCAAAAATCCCACTTAAAGGAATTTAAAAGTAAATCACCAGCACTATGAAAATATATGAGCACAAGTTTATTTAATACAGCATCATTTATAATTACAAAATATTATAAATGATCTGAATG